ACCAAATTCCTTTCTTCTTCTCATTGCATCGTCACTTTCACAACCACTACCTCTGTCATCGTCTTCTTCACTGCCTACACTTTTTTTACCACCGTTTTTTTTTATTGTGATTGAATGCTTGTTTTATCCACGATTTATAATGCACTTTGTATGGAATCATTTCATTTTGAGATGAAATAAAAATTTCGCCGTAGAATTCAACAATTTCTATCCCCATTGAAAAACCATATGAAACAACGTAAAACAACAAGAAAGAATTAATCAAAAGTTCAAAGCAAGAAGAAGATTATTAATGGTTCCTTTTATAACAAGAAAAACTTTGGTTCGGACACAAAGAACACGTAGCTTAATATTATCAGTTTATCTTATCACTAAAGTCTTACAAATCAAAAGGGCATGAACAAAAGTTTAAAAAGAAAGTTTAAAAAAAAAAACTACAAAATCTGAAACGAAAATTTTTCACCGAAAAAATGAAAAATACTCTGCAGCAACTGAAGCACCAATCGAAGAACTCTTCACCTTCCTTCTAGCCTCACCTGCCATTTCCTTACTCAAGAATTCACATCGGATTAGAAATATTAGAAAGCAATCAAGAATGAAACATATAGAGAAAACTCTGTAACTTCAAATCTCTCTTCCACATCCACATAAAGGATTTTACCATAATCATCTAATGAATTAAAAGCCAATAAATCTTTCTTCCTACAAAATTTCGCCATATTTTTGTATAGGAGGAAAGATCTACTGGCTATCTTCCTTAGATGACCCGGGTGAAGTCCTTTCTGTGGATAGGGCAGATTTGAGGTTATCGAGTTGTCTCAGAATTCAAATCATCTAAGAGATGAAGACACGATAACAGATCAATATGCGAAAGGATCTCTGTTTCCTCCTATTATAAAGCACTTACTTTTCTTTTCTTTTTTAGTTTATGATTTGTGGAATATATTTTCCCAAGTTTTACAATTCGTGGAATATTTTTCGATTGTCTTTCTCGAGGAAACGGTATCATATGTATATATCAAAAAGTTATAGTTGATTCTATTAACATTTTGGAGCAATTACAAAAATGTCACTTTTTGTGTGCACATTTGCAAAAATACCATTTAGAAGTGTCTATTTACAAAAATACTACTAATTATAGATTTATAATGCATATATCTTAAAATTTTGAACCCTAAAAAATGTTTTGACCCCTAAAACTCCCTAAACCCTCATAACTAAACCCT